ATCCATCCCTCCTCTGTGTGGGGGGGATGTAAACCACGGGCGGCTGCTCGCAGCATCCTCCAGTGGGTCCGGTGAGCACCGGTGCTTGCCACCCTACATTTAACAGCCAGGACTCACCCAAGGCACCGCAGAGGTGGGTGGGGGACTGGTTTATTTTTTTTCTCACAGCAGCCGCTTTGGGTGCTGCATTCCTCTCTCTTCCTGTGCACTCTCTGAAAAACCAACCGGACGTGGCAGTGACCGTGGCGCAGGTCGCGGTAGCTGGTTGTCTTTTTTTTTTTTCACATCCAGGCTTGTTGGAGAGGCTACAAACAGCGCAGAACTTACCAGGAGCGGCTGCGCTACCTGCAAGCCAACACAGACGCTGTGATAAAGGTTTGGGAGACTCTTCCTTCTCCCTTTGCGCCCACGTTGGGCATCGCCGCCCGCTCGCTCGGCAGCGAGCGCGGCGTTTCCCCGCTTTCTCCCTGCGCATCCCAACGGCAGCGAGGAAAGTGTTTAAAGAAAGGGGAAAAAAAAAAAAAGCAACACCACCGCGCCTCACTAGACTTCTCCATGAGTTAGATCGCGGTGTACGAACTTGTTTGGCTCCATTAAAACCAGGGCAGCGGGAGTGAACTAAGGCTCAAATGCCCAGTAAAAACGCAGCCGGGGAAGAATACAGCAACTGGACCAGGGCAAGGCTGGGCATGGGGGAAACTCGGGCTGGGGGAGAATGTCTTGCAAAAATCCCAATGGTTTTTCCACCCATTTGCTTTGGCCAAGTGAGTCCTACCCGTTTCCAACCGCTCGAACGTCTCTCCCAGATCCAGGCGGGCGTGAGGATGTGGCAGGCTCGGAGAAAGTACCAGGAGAGGCTGCGCTACTTCAGGAAGAACGTGAGCGATGGGATATGGGGAGTAAAACAGCTCCTGGGAGCACGTGAGCTTCTGTGGGGACGGTCCGGAGCGCGCGGTTGGACCTCTGCCCCCTGAGCGCTTGCGGCGCAGCTCGGGGGAGAAATTGGTGCATCCGTGTATGGGATAGATGGGAAGGAAAAGGTGCCCGGTGGGTCTGGAAGCTGAAATATTGGGCTCTGTTAAGTGCGAGGAGAGGAAAAAACTACTCCAGTTCTATCAAAACCCAACAAGGACTTCAAGATGCCCATTAGGAGGGAAGGAAATTTTGGGGGGGAAAGGCGTATGTCGGCTGCGGGAAGCGACGCTGCGCCTCTGGAGTTGCTGCAGCACGTGGAATACGGCAAGCGGAGGGAAAACCACGGTTAAGGAGGGCGAAATCCTGAAATCCCACCGGGGTTGTGGACACCCTCATCCCGGGCAGATCCCCAGCAGTGGGAGCAGGCAGGCGGGGGGCCGACTGCCTCTCCTCCTCTCCACGCGCGTTTCAGGGTTGCGGTGGGGAAACATCTCCCCCGCCATCTTTGTTTGTCTTGGCAGATTAAAGCTGTAATTAAAATCCAGGCTTTTGTGCGAGCTAACAAGGCCCGTGGGGATTACAGGATGCTGGGTAAGTGCCTGCTTGTCTCCGCTCTGAAGTGGTTGTAATTAATGGGGAAGGGGACTCTGCCTCCTCCCTCGTTGGCCCTGCATGGTGGGGG